GAAAGAAGGAAGGAAGGACAGGAAGGAAGACATGAAGGAAGGCAGGCAGGCAGGAAGGAAGGACGGAAGAAATGAAGGAAGCCAGGAAGGCAGGCAGGAAGGAAGGAAGGAAGGAAGGAAGGAAGGAAGGAAGGAAGGAAGGAAGGAAGGCAGATAGGTAGGAAGGACAGGAAGGAAGGAAGGCAAGAAGGAAGGAAAGCCGGCAGGCAGGCAAGAAGGAAGGAAGGATGGAAGACAGGAAGGATGGCAGGCAGGCAGGAAGGAAGGACAGAAGGAAGGACAGAAGGAAGGCATGCAGGAAGGAAGGCAGGAAGGAAGGAAGGCAGGCAGGTGGTGGGAATTAACATAGAAAAAGAAGTGTGTAAAGAAGCGGGAAAAAAGCGAAAAGAAAGAAATGTCCTGGAGAAGAAACGACTGAAGGAAGGAAGGAAGGAAGGAAGGAAGGAAGGAAGGAAGGAAGGTAAGAAGGACAGGAAGAAGGACGGGAAGCAGGAGGGAAGGAAGGCAGGCAGGGAAGGAAGGAAGGAAGGAAGGAAGGAAGGAAGGAAGGAAGGAAGGAAAGCAGGCAGGAAGGAAGGAAGGAAGGAAAGAAGGAAGGAAGGACAGGAAGGAAGACATGAAGGAAGGCAGGCAGGAAGGAAGGACGGAAGAAAGGAAGGAAGGAAGGAAGCCAGGAAGGCAGGCAGGAAGGAAGGCAGGCAGGAAGGAAGGAAGGAAGGAAGGAAGGAAGGAAGGCAGTTAGGTAGAAAGGACAGGAAGGAAGGAAGGCAAGAAGGAAGGAAGGCCGGCAGGCAGGCAAGAAGGAAGGAAGGAAGGAAGGAAGGGGAAGGCAAGAAGGAAGGAAGGCAGGCAGGCAGGCAGGAAGGCAGGCAGGAAGGAAGGAAGGAAGGAATGAAGGAAGGAAGGAAGGCAGGCAGGAAGGCAGGAAGGAAGACCTTAAGAAATATTTGGATGAAAGCTTGCAGACAAGGAAGAAATATCTGTTGAAATGGATAGGAAGGGATGTTGTAGCGAAAAGAAAGGATAACAACGATCATGTCGCAATTTTTGAGACGGAACATAAAACATTTAAAATGATTGGCATTCCGGACGTTAAGAATCCTGACAGCACTGAATTGATCTCTTCTTTACTTTTAAATAGTTCACCATTAAGAAAGTGTTCCAGTAATCTGATTAAACGTAGCTTCCCTCAGCCTTTCTCTATAAATATTTGTCATGGTAATTGTTCAGCCGATCTTTCCTCTTTGAAATCTACACTTTATGAATTTAAACGCAGTACTAGATTGGCTGCAAGGTCTCATCATTTTACACTCGAAATGTCTCGATGTAACCGTAAGTTCTATGCTAAGAGTTTCTTCTACTATCGCACTTCTCGCAAATGGAACTCTTTTCCAAATTCTTACATTAATTTAAAGTTTGATCTTCAAATGTCAACCGTTATTTTCTGTCCTGTTAATACTTGTCCTTTTATTAATCTCTCTCTTTAATAAAGTTTTCTCTTTCTCATATTTTCTCACACTCACTAACCCGCCCTCCACCTTGCGTCTTAGTGGCTTTATTGTTTTGGTTTGTGTAAAATGATTTTTTTTTTAAATTTTAATGTATGTAATTGACTGAAATTGTATAATTATTCTGAAGACTATCACACTTTTGTTGATCAATAAAGGCGCAAATTTCCAGTTCAATAAAAGACTGGTGTGATTCATAATTGATTAAACTTAACATGATCTAGTTTATGCTCGGCGAGATTTTATGGATGTGGAACTTTCGTTGAAATTTTTTGTCTGACCTTTCTTCAGAAAATCTGATTCTTCAAACAAACAATTTATTTGTTTGCAACATGCTTTTGTTTGTATTGCTTCTCTAAAAATGCGGCAGTACTTTGCGAACAGCATCAAAGTTAGTAGCTCGCAGGAAGGAAGGAAGGAAGGAATGAAGGAAGGAAGGAAAAGTGCATACAGGAAGAGAAGAGGAAAAAAAGGGGAGGGATTATTAGGAAAATAATTTTAAAAATAAAGGAAGTTGTGGGCAGAAAGTGATGAATGAAAAAACGAGAAAGAATGCCATGACAGAAACTGTAGAAAGTAGGAAGGTTGAAATGAAAGAAAGGATGAAGTGAATGAAATAGAGTAGCAAAGAAAGAAAGAAAGAAAGAAAGAAAGAAAGAAAGAAAGAAAGAAAGAAAGAAATCGAAGGGTGTCAGAAAAGTAAACAAAAGGAATTCCGAAGCTAACGAAGAAGTTAAGGAAGGAAGAAAGAAACGAACGAAGGAAGGGAGGATAGAAAGGAAGGAAGGAAGGAAGGAAGTAAGGAAGGAAGGAAGGAAGGAAGGAAGGAAGGAAGGAAGGAAGGAAGGAAGGAAGGAAGGAAGGAAGGAAGGAAGCAAGAAGGAAGGAAGGAAGGAAGGAAAGAAAGGAAGGAAGGAAGGAAGGAAGGAAGGAAGGAAGGAAGGGGAGGAGGAAGGAAGGAAGGAAGGAAGGAGGCAAGAAGGAAGGAGGGA